TGCAAATAGATGTTTGTGGCATAACCTCAAAATAGAGTTCTGACACGGAGAAGTAGAAAACAATGACAATCAAGGAGGCCATAAAGACGCAGTACAATTGTAGGGACGACTGACGATACGGGCCTAAGTCTCTTGAACCCTTTATGGCCGACCGTCCATCGTACCGTGTGTCCCAAGTTAAGGCATTCTCACACACGGGTGTCGATTACGGAGGACCCTTTACTATAACGCGTGGGCCTCACCGCGGCGCTAAAATATATAAGGCATATCTCTGTTTATTTGTTTGTCTTGGCACCAGAGCTGTACATTTGGAATTAGCAAGTGATATTTCATCAGACGCATTTTTATTCGCATTACAACGATTTATTGCTAGGAGTGGTAGGTTTTTCGTTCTTTTTAGTGATTGTGGTACCAACTCTGTGGGATCCAACAAAATCATTCAAAATTTGTTTAAATTCGTCGCTGAACATGAAAAAATCACTTGGTCTTTTAACGTTCCGTCATCTACGCAAATGGGAGGTGCATGGGAGAGGGGCATTCGCTCGGTGAAAACTCATTTGACACTCATTATTCGAGATCACATTCTAACCTACAGTTTTAACCGCTTTTAGCTTTGATTGAATCTGTGTTGAATTCGCGCCCCTTAACGCCAGTGATCTCGGATGTTGACGATGTGAATGAACTACGGCACGGGTATCACGTATCTTGAAAAGTGACATTATGCCGATTTTTTTTTTGACATTATTCTTTTTTTTGACATTATGTAGATTTTTCTACAAGATGTTAACTTAGCACTTAGTTGTACTTGTTGCCTGAACGTCATGAGGCTCGTTATCAATCTTTGGCTCTGATGTGATGTAAAAGCTGCTTCTGAGATGGCATTACTGGAGGTCTAAGCTGTAAGTTGTATGTGTGTTGATGATAATTACATTGGGTTCTTGTCTCAAATAGACTTAATTTATATTCAAAACTAGAAATTAGTTACGCATCCACTTTTTCTTATCCATTCTGGAAATTACATAATACAAACTTGCTGAATTTCAAAAATGAGAGAGATAAGAAATAATTATATTCACTGTACACTGTCGAATTACAAGCCATATACATGCTAACCGTGATTACACACAACACGGGCGCGATGATGATTTCCTGTAATTCTCCTCAGTTTATCGTAATTTATAACTTTGAAGATAACCTTTCTTCAGAAAGCACAACATAAAAATAACCCGTCGGGCACAGCCAATAGACATACTTCATTGGCAGCATATTCAGTAATGATTTTCTCACACAGCAAATATCACTGATTTTATACACATGCAGACCAATACACAGAATTATCCAGATGCGATCTTGCTATTCAACCAACTTTCTTCTCAGAGATAAAAACTTCAGACAAGGACCATTTGACCTCACAAAACATATGCAACCAATAATAGTTTAGTTGAGTGATTTCTCGTTAGATGGACGTTCACAACGATCCTAGTGAGCAAACGTGGAATGACTGTTTGGGCCCTAAGAACTACCTAGTTTGCAAGATGACATCTTATAGGTTTTTTTCATGATACCCATGCAGGTCACTTTTTGACTACTGAACCCTTAACTGCTTTAACAACACCTGACTTGACGACCACTCCCTTAAACCGTCGCTCTCGTTGGCAGCTTCTGCAACGCCTTCATCAAGATTTTTGATGGCGCTATGTTGAATATTTGCACACATTTCAACAACGCTCTAAATAGTTAAAAAAGTCAGCAAATCGGAACTCTTGTTTTGATCAAGAGTGAAAACTTAGCGCCATCGAAATGACACCTCTTGCTAGAATTGTTTCTTGAAATTTCGGTGCAGACGGAATTGCTCGCAGCTCCCAATTGAAAACCACAAATGGTATACTAAGTGGCATATAAATCCGAACACCCAGTTTAAATGGTTTTATTTTAATAAAAGTTCGTGAATGTATTTATCTTACTGTAAATAACAAGTGAAAAAATTTTCAGCCTTATCAGTTGGACATTCCGGTTTTTATACTGCTTTTTTTTAATTCACTAACGCTCTAAAAATGAATATTTCAGCCGCAGTAAAGAATCAACGTTGGCGGATATTGGTTTGACATCCTTTACGATCGGTTACGATGCCTAGAGTACGGAGACCTGTACGATTTCGTCAACTTAGTGAGTTTGATAGGGGCCGTATAGTGGGACTTCGGGAAGCTGGACTTTCTTTTCGGGCAATTGCAGTTAGAGTGCAAAGAAGTGTAGACACTGTGGTTAGGTGTTGTCAGGCATGGCTTCGAGAAGGCCGTACGCAAAGAGCAAGGGGCACTGGACGCCGCCGTAGAACAACAGACCGTGAAGATCGCCGCCTAAGATTATTGGCCTTAAGGGACCGTTTCTAAACTACCAGGTCCATTGCAAATGAATGGTTTGCAGAACACGGAAGACCTATTGGCATGCGAAGTGTTTACCGACGAATGAGAAGTTTTGGCTTGTTTTCATACCGGCCACACTGGGTCCTCCCTTTAACTCGAGAACACCGACGTAATCGCCTTGAGTGGTGCAGACAATGGTCACTCTGGGATCAGGAATGGAACAGTATTGTCTTTAGTGACGAGTCTCGATTTTGTTTAGGCATGCACGATGGTCGTGCCAGGGTTAGAAGGCGACGTGGTGAAAGGAGGAATCCACAGTTTTTTGTTGAAAGACATGTTCATCACACTGTTGGAGTTATGGTTTGGGGTGCTATAGCTTATGGTTCCAGGTCACCTTTAATCTTCATCAGAGGTAACATGAACGCGCAGCGTTATATCCACGAAATTCTAGAACCCCATCTTTTACCCTATCTTGACACCCTGGCAGATCCAACTTTCCAACAAGATAATGCCCGACCACATGTTGCAAGAGTCACAATAGACTTCTTTCAACATAATGATGTCACATTGTTACCATGGCCACCAAGATCTCCCGACTTATCCCCAACTGAGCACGTGTGGGATATGATGGGTATGAGATTGCTCAATTTGCAACGTCCTCCTCAGACTCTAGTAGCACTTCGAGAGGAGTTGGTGGTTGCCTGGAATGAGATACCACAGGAGGACATTGACCACCTGATCAGAAGCATGCCTAGGCGCGTTGGAGAATGCGTAGCACATCAGGGTGCACCCAGACATTATTAAAGGTCAAAGAGCTTTAAAGCAGTGCAATCATTTTGAAATTTTTATCATTTACTTATTATGCTTCATTAAGTACTTATACAAAATTTTATTAAAATAAAACCATTTAAACTGGGTGTTCGGATTTATATGTCACTTAGTATATTTCATATATGTTATGTAGATCAATCCTTACATTTTAGTATATTTAACTACACTGTGGATGTCTATTTTGGAGGTTTTCTCTGTTTGACGTCCCTAATTTCTTAAATAAATAAATTCTTTAAGCTTTTGAATGCGTCTCGAACATCGTTGAATGAAACAGCTCGAAAGTTAAAATGTAGTGTATCACCAGTCTGTATAAAATCTTTGAAGTTTGACTGGGTAGCTGAATTTTCAGTAATAATGGTTTCAGCAATGTTGACAAAGGAAGAGTGTAAATCATTCGCGTTGATTGTAGAAGAATGGGATTTTGAAGATTGCACACCACTGGCTTTAATCACATTCCACATAACTGGTTGCTTATTTGACGCTCTACCAATATACATACTTATCATAAGCATTTTTTCTTAATCCTGATATCTCATTCCAATAGGATAAATATATAAAAAACTAAATAAGTGAACATCATAATAGGTTAGAAACGCAGTAGTTGTATGATACAGAGAATATAAGCAGTATAGTATGAAGAGTACTGCCTTTTTGCTTCGATAAATTGATTTAATGCTTTTATGCTTAGTAAATGTAATTAATATGGATTATATAAATATAAATAAGTGAAAAAATATATATTTTTGTTAAATAACGTGAACTATATTTGGTAATTGTAATCATACCCGAAATGTATTTGCTTCCAAATTTAAAAATGGCAGTAAATTTGGGAAAAACGCTCAGGCACGTCAATTTTGATTTCTAGGGGGACGTTTTTTCATCTATAGCCGTACAATACAGGGTGATCCAAAAATAAGATATTGCGTTACACTTTAGATTTTTAAGAGGAAACCCCCATTTTTTAATTTTGCAAGAGCAACTGCCCGATTGTTTAATGCGTTACATCCAGTCAAAAATATTACGAATATAATAGAAAATGATGTTAATCATAATGAAACTTACATCATTTCCACTATGTGGCTCCAGTTATGCAGTTTTTTGATACCCATTTCCCGAATCATTGGATCGCCAGACGACGCCCCATCGAGTGGCCGACGGCATTTCCGGACCTAACTCCTTTAGATTACTTTCTTTGGGGGCATTTGAAAAGTAAAGGTTTTAGTACGAAGCCAGATTCCATTCAAGAACTTCGTCAGCGGATTACGGCTGAAGGGAGACAAATAACTCAAGGCATGCTTGAAAATGTGAAGAATAGATTCGAACAAAATCTTTATTATTACATGGAGGTAAATGGACACCACTTTCAGCACTTATTACCACATTGACTTACCTCTTTACAGCAAACTAAGTTTTACTTTAACTCTAATGTGCCTGTAAACAGTTGTTTATTGTTTTTCAATATTCAGAGACCTGTTTTTAATTTTAAAGTTAAGTCTTGTTACTATGGGAGCTATATTGATTATTATTTTTACGATATAATTGTTTATTATCAAAAATTGCTAAAAACTTTTAATTTTTTTTTAAAAATGGAGGTTTCCATTTAAAAATCTAAAGTGTAACGCAATATTTTATTTTTGGTTCACCCTATATTGTACGGCTACAGATGAAAAGACGTCCCTCTAGAAATCAAAATTGACGTGTCCGAGTGTTTTTTCCAAAATATACCAGGAGAATCACCCTGTATATATTTACTCATTCTTTTGTTTTAGGGGTAAATAAATATTATTATTATTATTATTATTGTAGGCATCTCCTGACTACCTTGCCACGTTATCGAAGTTGAAACATCCAAGCGGTGTTCTTTGGCCAAAATTGTCAGTGCATCATTGGCCTGCCATTCTGCGGACCTACAATGTGTCAGTAGCAGGCAAGGCAGTTGCGGTGTTGCCTAATATCAGGCTGTCGCACGTCATAGAACCAGAAAGAGCGGTGTTGCTGCGAAATCCAGATGAAAAGTAAGTTTATCTTGGTGACATATTTTACAAATGTAGTTGAACAAAATGAAGTGTAGAGCTGTATTGTAGTTAAATACTTGAGCCTCGAGTAAATACTTAATCTAAACCAGGACTAAACCTTCAAAATAGCGTAATACTAATTCCTATAATGAGGACAAGTTTGTCTATAGGGTCACACTCGCCAGGTAAGCTTGCGCTATGGTTGAATTGAGAATATTCACGTAAGGATAAACCTGTGCAAACTCTCAGTTGATACCATGGCCATTAGGGTGTTCCAAAAAAATGAAAGTTTTTTTTTTCAAATGCATACCTAGAACCAGGGCAACCAGTGCAGAGTCAAAATTTACGTATTGGCGCGCGCTACCTAACGTATTGCAGTGCTCGTTTATTCTATTAGTAAACGCGCTATTTTCGTTCAGTGAACACGTCGAAGGAATTACGCAGTCCTAAAAAGGGAATATTTTTAATAGGGGACTTGAAGCATCAATTTACCGGATCAAAACTTCTCCTCTAGTGGACAAGTACTAGCAGCTTTGTTCTATAATATCCGGGAAGTGAACTTAAGCGTCAATGAGAGCGCCAACCTTACTATTCGTGAGTGTATTATCTACTGGGAAAAGGCACGTACACTGCCTAAATATCTAACTGAGTTAAGAAACTAGTTACCTTATACCAAGTTTGGAGAGATATGCAAAAAAATGCAAGCAAAACAATATGTAAGTGTTTTAACAGCGGCGACAAAAGTTTGTTACGAACTTGGATAATCTGTTTGATATTGCGCATGCCGATGTCCTTCAGTTGATGAAAATAAGTGAAGAGATAGGATCTCCTTGTAGCGGCTGAGAAAGCCAGGTCGACCTGGTCATTTAGCTGGGGTGGACAAGAAATTAGCTATAAAAGAAGAAAAGGCCCATGTTAGGAACACCAAAGAACAAACGCGGTGAGCTCAATATGCTGCTTCCTTAACACCTTCCAGTGGAAGAAAATTCATCTTCATATTCCGAGATAGATTTACAAGAAACTTTGCCCATCCCAACCCAGAACGCACAGCCTGACACTAATCATATTCAAGTGAGGAAAAGTTTCATAACTCCAAAATGAGTTAGTTTTTATTATTGAAGCAAGTATTGGCGAACTTGGACATAACACTGACGAGTATCCTATAAGCAAGTTGTGGAGACTGTCCACCTTGCACCATCCGCCACAGACTCTCTCATAGCTAATCCACGAAGTTCGAGTTGCTTGGAATGAGATGCCGCAACCAGACATCGATCATCTCATGCCTAGACGTATACAGGAGTGTATGTAGCTGCGGGGTCGTCCAACATATGATTAATTATTTTCTTATTAGTTTCCAATAAAATTTCGAGAGAATTTTATCGTTTCATTCTTAATGTAAGACTAACTCATTGCCAACCAATGGAGTTGAAGAAATTATTTTTTCTGGGTGTAACACTTCTAATGTCTCTGAGTATATTTGCCTGGTTGCCAGACGGAACAAGTATTAAATCATTAAACAAGATCTAACTTGTCATAAGTAAACACTTGCAACTGTCTTGGTTTGCTTTGTTTATTTGGTACGTTCTTGTACCCCAATTCAAAAATACAAGTAAAAACTACAACTTTCACTTTTTTATTTAATTTATCCATTGAATCACTTCAGAATACCGCTTCAAAATAATATTGTAAAATTAATCCCTTTTCAGGTATGGTGATAAGTTCAGGTGGCAATCACTCGCAATCGCACTGGATCCGATCGATTTCAGCGGTAAGTGTGTTGTGAGAAATCTTGTTCTTAATTGTGTCCGTTATTTGTTTTTAGTTTAATCCCACTTGATTTAACCGTATAAATCTAACATTACAATTTGTAGTTTCGCTAAAGTTAGTTTTAGGTAAATTTAGTACATTAATTGTTTTTTATTACCCATTGCTCTGTAAATGGTGTATACTGTTGGGCAATATATGCTTTATTATCATTATTATTATTATTATTACGCGAGGAATACAAAAAGGTCGCACATTTATATGCATCATGGGTATCCTACATTAACCCATTAATGCCCACGGGGTCGATAGTGACCCACGAGATATTTTAATACCCTACTCTCAGCACAACATGACAACGACGTGTAAATATTCGGCAAACGCAACCACATGCCTGCATGAAGCCACGTGCTTGTGGTCGACGGCATTGTGCATATTTCCGGCATCTAAACAGCAGCCCGAATTCCATAGATTGAGTGTAGTAAAACATGGCTTCCAATTATGAATGGTAAGTACATTTATTGTTTTTTATTTCTTTTATCTACTATTCAAATTAGCTTTAGGTAGCATATATCTACGACTGCAAATACATTGTTTCGAAATATTTGTAGAAATAAAAGTTGTGTATAACCTAAAAACCTTGTGGGTCGTTATCGACCCCTTGGGCTTCACAATACATTCTAATGTTAATTTTAATAATTCACATTATTTTTTTAGAATGTTTTTAGTAGTTTATGTTTATTTTTTTTTCCAGGACGCGTCCGTTGACAACTAGCGAATTGTTGGAAGAAATTGAAAACATCGAAAATTCCGAAGATCTTCCCGATGGAATTATTATTACTCCACCGGACGATTTTTCCGACAACACGGACTGCGACTCTGGAGACGAAGATTCCAATGACCCGGACCACTTGAACAGCAATCAACTTTCTGCTCAAGTTGGATATTACTTCATGGACAATGAAAGGAGATCACAAAATGAAACAGTGATTGAGGGGGTTGCTGGTATTGAGTGGGATGAAGAAGACAATTTGCCGCTCGCATATTTTGCAAGTCACTCTGAATATGAAAAATGTAAGTGGATGAAAGGCGACCTACAGAGTGATAATACGGAAACATTTTCAAATTTTCCACCTCCACTTACACTGACATCGGAGAGTTCGCCTCTCCAATTTTTTCAACTATTTTTGTCACCCGATATTCTAACAGATCTTGTAAAATACAGCGTTGCATATGCTTCTAAAAAGAACAAGCTGAACTTTGAACTTTGTTTGGACGAAATGTATGTTTTTGTTGGAATTTTAGTTTTGTCTGGATACGTTCCTCTACCGAGAAGACGGATGTATTGGGAAGAAAGTGAGGATGTTCATAATGAACTAGTCGCCAAATCAATGCGTCGAAATCGATTTGAAGAGATTTCTAGCGTTTTCCATGCTGCTGATAATGACAATCTCCCAGAAGGTGATAAGTTGGGGAAGATACATCCTTTATTGAAGCCATAAATAAAAATTTTATCAAGTGCGCACCAAATGAAAGTAATATTTCTATAGACGAAGCGATGATACCATACTACGGTAGGCACGGATGCAAGCAATACATAAGAGGCAAGCCCATTCGCTTTGGATATAAAGCTTGGGTTGCTGCATTGAAATGTGGCTATTGTTTGCAGTTTGATATATATCAAGGAAGGAAGCAGAATATAGAAAATCTAGGGGGTATGGGTCTTGGCGAACGTGTAGTGACAAGTTTTGCTACCCTCTTAGAAAAAGAATTTCCAAATCATAGATTCACCTTTTATTTCGACAATTTTTTTACATCTGCTAAATTGATAATCCGTCTTGGTAAAAAGGGTTTTGGAGCCACCGGTACTGTAAGAGAAAATCGAACAGATAAGTGCCCTCTGAAAAACTCAACTCTTATGAAAAAAATGGAAAGAGGATCCATGGATGTTGCTGTTGGGGAAAATAATAAAATACCGGGTATTCGGTGGAAAGATACAGTATCGTTACATTATTATCCAACGTACATGGTTTGGATCCTCTTCAAAAGTGTCTGAGATATTCTGCTAAAGAGAAAAAGAAAATAGAAATCGCCTAGCCGTTTATAGTAAAACAGTATAACCGGTATATGGGTGGTGTTGATCAGCTCGACAATCATATTTCAAATTACAGAATAGCGATGAGAGGTAAAAATGGTACACTCCACTGATGTACTGGGCAATTGATGTATGTGTTGTAAATTCTTGGAATCTCGCACGGCAGTATGGATATAAAAAAGACCAACTAGATTTTCGCAGAGGTATTGCAAAGGAACTTTTGTCAACATATGGTCGAGAATCATCTGTGACGGGAAAAAAACGAGCTGCCGTCAGATATCCTGCTTCTGCCTCTGGGACACATCTGATAATAACGGGAGAAGTAAGACGCCGCTGTCAGAATTGCAAAAATAAAACAAACAAACGTTGTGATGGATGCAATGCTCCTCTTCATGACAAATGCTTCTTAGAATACCATAACTCCTGATTCCATAATTATAGATAATAGTATCTTGTTCAAATCTTTTTGTTGATAATTGTAATCAGATAAATAAAACTTATCAAAAATATACGTTATGATTTTCATTTGAAATGTTTGTGCAAACATTTTTGTAGAGCCCAAGGGGTCGCTAACGACCCAACCCAAAATGGCGGCATTTTAAATTTTTTTTCGTGAAATATTCATTGATATATCTTTTATATTACTATGGTAATCACATATTTAACCGAAAACATGTTTTCAAAAAAAGTTAATCTGGGCATTAATGGGTTAAGAAAGAAATAATAATAATAAGAATCGTCTTTAGAGAGAGGAGTTTAAGCATAATGCTATTCTGACACTTAATCCAAAAGAGTACAAAATAGAGTACAGAATATTTCAATGTTAACAAAAGTAAAAAAAGTTTGATAAGTTGAATAAGACATGCATTATAACAGCCTTGCAGTAAAGGAAATTATAAATTGAAAAAATGTGGCCCAATAACTCTGTCTCCCAGTATGACACACCACACATTTAAACTCCATCGCCCTTGGTGCTGAACTTCACGCAAACAAATGCAATTTTCTGCAGACCAATAATGGATATTGTGCAGATTGACTCTCCCGTCTCTATTAAAGGTGGCTTCATTGATGCAGAGAATTTGAATCCAATAGCAATAGTCCAACCTCCGATCAAAGTCTTAGTCTTTCAAAGCCTGATGCAAAACGACGTGATATGTGTGCATTCTAAAAGTAATTAAAAACGTCAAATTTAAATAAATCCCTATATATACTAAGTGACATATAAATCCGAACATCCAGTTTAAATGGTGCATGCCTAAACAAAATCGAGACTCGTCACTAAAGACAATACTGTTCCATTCCTGATCCCAGAGTGACCGGCGATTACGTCGGTGTAAAGGTTAGAAGGCGACGTGATGAAAGGAGGAATCCACAGTTTTTTGTTGAAAGACATGTTCATCACACTGTTGGAGTTATGGTTTGGGGTGCTATAGCTTATGGTTCCAGGTCACCTTTAATCTTCATCAGAGGTAACATAAACGCGCAGCGTTATATCCACGAAGTTCTAGAACCCCATCTTTTACCCTATCTTGACACCCTGGTAGATCCAACTTTCCAACAAGATAATGCCCGACCACATGTTGCAAGAGTCACAATAGACTTCTTTCAACATAATGATGTCACATTGTTACCATGGCCACCAAGATCTCCCGACTTATCCCCAATTGAGCACGTGTGGGATATGATGGGTAGGAGATTGCTCAATTTGCAACGTCCTCCTCAGACTCTAGAAGCACTTCGAGAGGAGTTGGTGGTTGGCTGGAATGAGATACCACAGGAGGACATTGACCACCTGATCAGAAGCATGCCTAGGCGCGTTGGAGAATGCGTAGCACATCAGGGTGCATCCACACATTATTAAAGGTCAAAGGGCTTTAAAGCAGTGCAATCATTTTGAAATTTTTATCATTTACTTATTATGCTTCATTAAGTACTTATACAAAATTTTATTAAACTAAACCATTTAAACTGGGTGTTCGGATTTATATGTCACTTAGTATATTTTGATCACTATTAGAACTTACATATTATGGTCCTTCAAAATATTTTGAACCGTTGCTCATGATATGCCCAACCCAAGAGATAATGTCTTTGTGATAACATGAGGACTTCCTTCAATCTATTCCAGTACGCGGTTAATACTTTCTTGTGTTCTTCCAATTCTTTGCCGTTGAAATGTAGGCCGAAAACTAACATTGGCTCGTAAGCTCGCCACTAATCGGGACAAAACTTTCACATCTCAAAGACACCGATTTGAATATCGAGTCGCGTAAACTCTATTTGTCGCTGCGGCATTCTGAAGACATTCAAAATAAACTTCCAGCATATCAACAGTTTCATCGTTAGTAAAACCCATTTGGCAAGCACAAAAATTGCTCAAAGTAACGCGAAACTATTGACAACTATTTTGACTATTTGAGGATTATTTACGTTTTGATTAGGTATTTCAATTGTTGTATTCCATAGCCTGCTTCTGTTAATTGTCTTTTTCCTATATACCCATAGTGAATACTGCATTTAAACAAACAATATGCCTTTTATTAGCATTAAGTACTTAGCTTTGTAATATTTTCAAAAAGGGTGATTTTATTCTGATGAATAAAAAGAAGTCCAGAAAAATTGGTAGAAAAAAATTAAAATTCAAGGGATATCCGTATCAAATTTTCCTTGGCCTAAAATCTGGGTTAGGAACAAGGTATCTAGACGCCGTTTTCGCGAGCTTGTCTAGACAGCATTTAGCTACTTTATCATAAAAAAATCATACCAATGCATTTAATTTTTTTGAGAAAATGAATCGTTTCTATCGGAATATCGAAGAAAGCCCTCTAGCGGCCACATGTGAAACTAAAAAAACTTCAAATGTTATAACAATGTGTAGCCAAAGAATAGCTCTTTTTAACTAGCCCAAGTTTGTTAATAGCGGCTTAGCCGTTTCGAAGATACAGGGTGTTTTTTACTTAAACCTTTGAATACCACCCACCACTTAATTTTTAGAGATACAGCGAAAATTTCCAAACAAAAAAGTTCACATTATCCTCGACTTTAAAGATCAGGTATTTTTTGTTAGGTTAGTATAGCAGAATTCACAGAAGCATCACCTTTTTAGGATCAAGATTGAAGTTACGGCCCCTAGCGGCCATTTCAGAAACTTAAAAGTTTTTTTGCACGTTTTCCTCTTGGCCGTTTTATTGAGAACCTTTTTTGCCGCAAGCCTATACGATGGATAGGTTCCCAGATACAGTACTTCGAATTCTTAGTTCGTCACCCTATACATCATGAAAAACTATGTCAGTCATTTCCGTTGGTCTGTCGGTCTTTCCGCTATTTTTATAACCGCCTATAACTTGAGATGTACCGCTAGAATTTCGATGAAATTGTTACACAATGTTGATACTATGCCAAAGACGCAAAGGCTTTGAAGTTTTTTAAAAATGTTCCAGTGGCGGCACAGAAAAAGGCCAAGAACGAAAAATAATACAAATCGCTCTTCGTTCGTTGAAGCGTCAGAGGATTCTGATCATTTTTGAAAAATTTTTAGACACATAAAACTTGTGGGTGGGAATTAGAGAAGGTTCATATCAATTTTTTGACGTTGGTACATTTATACGTTCCCAACCTTGGTAATTCTATGTACCTACTAGACATATTTCCCACATCATAGATTGTTCCCTGCATTAGCCCTTAAAATATTCTCAGCAGACGGTTCGCGTACCTACTGACCGCGGCCGCTGCTCCTGGCCGCGTGCCGCTGGCCTTGGTGAGTGTTCTGTTGTTCTAGTATGGTATTACATGTATTACTTTCGCGCCTCAGCATAGTGTTTCCTGAGCTCAGACCGCGCTGCCACGACTGACCCTCTGACCGGATTAAGTATCGGGGAGAGGCGACGTTACCAGATGCTTCACCGGTATGACAGAGAAAGAATGTCTATGGACTGATTGTAAGGATCTGCTTGACTTACTTTTCTCATAAGGTCTAATTTAATATAAACATATTCCTTTATAAACTGATCACGGCTTTGCTTGGGAAGTGCAGAGTCAACCTATTTGATGCCATTTTTTATGTAGCCTTAGGGCCCTATTTCACTGAGACATCGTACCGTGGAGAAGTCGCCAGCAACCTTAGCCAAACGTGTATATCCATCATTTTGGAGGGGGGTGAGTCTAGGAGAAGAATAACAACTTCTCCGACAGCCAGGCTACAACGAAGGCACTAAGTGCCTGTACGATCACTTCGAGCCTTGTTTTCAATGCAGGGAGGCTCGGAGGCCTTAGGGGTGCCCGCCCGAGAGGAAAATGGAGAAGTGGATTTCAAGACAACACTCTCAGAAATGGAGAAGCATACCCAGACATCTACATCAGGCACGGAAACTCATTGGACGCTTCTGCTTTTCTTCGGATAGAGCCAACCTAAGGTTGCTGGTGGGACTGTTGTTGGCCATAACATATTAAGGCGCCACCAGCACGTGAGGGGGGTGTCTTGAGGATCCCTTGTGTGAGCGCTGCGGGGTAGAGGAAGCGACCTCGGCCCACGTTCTGTGTCGCTGTGAGGCTCTCAGCTACTACAGGCAGACCATAGTGGGATCCATCACTTTGGACCCCCAGGACGTTAAGCAGCTTGGACTCATGGCCATAGTCAACTTCGCTAGAATGGCGAGTATTGAGGTCTAAGGAATGTAGAGGTGCCTCTAATTTCATGTTTTCATTCATTCATTCAACCTTAGCCAAAGTATTTCATTAAATCGTATGATAGGTAACTGACGTCGCCTTTGATTGCCGCCTTAGCTGCATGTCATTTATTTCAACTGCAATATACTAAATGACATAGAAAATGCAACACCAACTAGGTGTGCTGTAATTTTGAGCATACTTTTACAAGTTTTAGATCTACTGATAAATAGAAAGTGATTAAAATTTTAACTCGACATTTCGAAAAATAGCTGAGATATCCCACCTTAATGTTAATATGGTATTTAAGCTCCTCTATTCGCTACACATTCATTAAGTCGTCGCGGCATTGATTGGATTATATCTTCTTGATGTATTGTATCCCAGGCCATCTGGATGTAGTTTCATAGAGCCTCCAATGTTTGTGGAGGGTGCCTTCTTCCCATCATGTTCGATGAGGGAAAGGTCTGGAGATCGACGAGGCCACTGAAGCAGATTTTCTCTGGACGCTTCTAAAAAGTCTAAACTAACACGTGCGACATGAGGTCGTGCATTGTCCTGTTGAAAAGGAGGATCTTACAATGTTTCCAAAAAAGGAAGCAGATTTGATTGTAAAACTTCGTGGGTATAGTGCTGGGTTGCAATTGCTACCTCGAATGAACACTAATCGTGACCTGCTGCCGTGCTTACGTCACTCCATACTATAACACCTACAGTGCGATGATGGAATATTGGACGTTCCGTCTTTCGCCACGTCTCCTCCTTACTCTTGCACGGCCATCATGAGTGCCCAACCAGAATCTGGACTCATCGCTGAACACGAATGAGTTCCATTCCATATTCTGTTAAAGTCGCTCCCTACCCCAAATCAATCTTTGCCGACGATGCTGTGGGTGCAGAGGTAGTACAAGACGGGGACGGTATGAAAACAGTTCAAAAGACTTTATTTGGCGATAAACTTTCCTCATTGTTATTGCTCTTCCACAGCATCAAACTGCTGGTTTGGGGGACGTCCAGTACCTTTAACTCGTCGATTTCGGTCTTCACGTAACTCGATTATCCGGTCCCTCTCAAACTAGGAAAGTTGATTGAAATTAGCGCGTCTGCGAACTCTAGGCATGATAATGCAATGAAACAAATGGCACCAACACAGAAAAATTACTGAATTAACTAAACACACACATGACAAAAAATGCTTCACAAAAAAAGTACGGCTCGGAATACCTTCAAGATTTTATCAGCGTATACATCCATGACAGCAAATGTGTTTACAAGTTTTTATCAGAATTCAATAAATAATTCTATGTATTGCTTTTATATGTCGCTTAGTATAGTTTGTGTTTATGATGGCTATGTCCCTATGGGTCCCAGTGAGGAAGGACCCTCAAAAACAAGATACAGATCTTTAAATTCTTTTTCATCAATATTTTCAGATCCAGAATTTTCGTCAGGATCAAGCCATTCTTCAGATAGCACTGGATCCTCACATCCTGATCAACCATATTATCCTCAGTCTCCTATGGAGATAATGCTTACATCGATTTTGTGCTTAATTAGCATGGTGGTCCTATCATATGCCTTAGTTGTTTTGTACAGGTGAGTGAATATATGTGATGTTGGATAGCTTAGCGATTTTGGCGTTTACAGAAGTGTACCTCTTGCCAAACCGGTTTTACGAAAAAGTTTGATATTGAGATGTTTTGTTTTTTGGATGTTATGACATGAAGATCGCGAAAAACCATGTCACTCATTTCCTTCTGTCTGTCTGTCCGATGGTCGTTCACCCTTCCATAACTTGGAAAGTAACACATAATGTTACTACTATTCCAAGTGCTAAAAAGCTTTGAAGTTTTCGAAAATCGCTCAAGCTCTTGAGCTTGCTGAAGAAATGTCAAATAACATGGAAAAACATTAACGTCTTTTTTATTTAATACTTGTATACAATAACGATAAAGTACAGTATAATCAATGAGCCGTTATTCATAAAAGAGAAGCATATCCTCGGAAGCATAAGGTAAAAGTATTAGGTCTTGCTTCGGAGAAAAAGGTAGAAGTATAAGCATATCCTTTTTTTTATATTCATAATGATTACCTTATACTCGCGAGGATATCCTCCAAGGAGAAGTAAAGTTTTGACTGATATTTGTATCTTGAGCGACATGTCCTGACTTGTTCCAGCTTGTAGTTGACGTGGGAGTTCGTTCACTCAGCGTCACTGACAGTTGTACTCCAGAGCTTACACAGACCGTTCCGTATTTTTAATGGATACAGTTTATCAAATTAATAAGCATGTCATCCTCAAGTGATGAGGAAACTATATAAAGTAATGGTAACGACCTGCAGCTCATCGCAGATGAAATTGCCATTACTCCCAATATTTTGCAAAATTCACAAGTTCCAAAAATAAAAATGAGAAAGGATGATGCCTTGAAGAAGATGTTGAAAAAATACGAATCAACATTCGGTAAACCATTAGATACTAAAGGCTTATTAAAAAAAATCCACAACAGGAAATCAAGATTGAAGAAAAAAACATCTTACAAAAACTGGTAATAATGCAATTAAATTGTTAGATTGGGAAAGAAAGGTGCTGAAAGCTATGGAAGGTGACTGTAATCCTACAATTGGTAAAATTAGAGGTGCCATTCAGGTTGGTAGTGTTCAAGAAGAAGGAAGTGAACTATATACCGAGTGCAGTGAGCAGACAGTTAGTATTACAGCGGCAGTAATTCAGAAGACATTGCCACCAAAAAGAAAATTAGCAGCAGAGAAATACGAAACTGAGGAAACCAAACGGTTAACTACAAAAGAACTGCAACGTCTAGTGCTATTACAGCAGTACCAAATAAATATTTTACAACAAGAGTATTATAAAACGAAATTAGAAATGATGCTGCGTCAGAAGCCACCTGTAACTTATGATGTTCACGAAAATAAAACTTATTATAACTTAAAAATACACTTTAATCAGTAAAACTATTATTATAATACTCATGTTTCTTCTTATTTGTTGACCTAGTTGGTGGAGAGGAAGTTCGTCATTCTCATGATTTCCTTCATCTTCATCTGGGTCTTGTTCAACTAACTCAAAGTCAGGATCGCCCAAGCTCTTCGCAACATTATGGAGTACAATACAAGCAATAATTATTTTCGGCACATTTTCCAACTTTACGCGGCAAACATACTGTAGGATAGGAAACCGGCGTTTCAGTTGGCCGAAACAGCGTTCAATTATAACTCTTTCTTGTTTTAAAAGCTTATTATAATATATTTCTGCACCTGGAGTAGGATTTCTGAAGAGAGTCAATACCATAACCGTCATCGCCAAGTAGTTCAACATTTGCTTTATTTATTAGTTGTGATCTAGTCTGTGAATTTCTCCATATTCTGGAATCATGCGCTGATCCAGGCCAACTGACATCAACACTTGTGAACATCTCTCTGGCATTACAAGTGGCTTGCACATTTAAAGTAGGTTTCCCTTTTCGGTTGATATACTCATCTCCATGGCGATTTGGTTTCAGGATTCCTATATGTGTACAATCAATTACACCAATTGCTGTCGGAAATTCATACATGCTTTGCCATATCCACTTGGCCTCCATCAGTTCATGGTTGGTAGTTGGAAACTTGATCCATTCATTCGACTGTGCAACTATGCTGTTCACAACTCTATCCACAGTCCGAGATACTGTGGCTTGACTAACACCAAGTTCCTGACCTTGTTGATACCCAGGGTCACCGAGATAGCGTAGACATATCTTCATTTTATGAATACATGAAAGTGCTCCTCCTCGAGTTTCCTCATTTTCAACTAAAAATCTGTCGGCAAGCCATTGTACATTTGCTTCGTCGAACCGATATAATTTTTTGAAGTCACGACCGAGTGAAGGTAAACGAGGTTTATACGTTTTAACATCCCTAACATGCACAATTTCCGCCATCATCGTTTGACCACCTTTCGTTACGAAGTTGAGTCTGCTACTGACCACACTCAGAATTTTTGAAGGTTATGCTTCCTATGCCAAGTATAAGGTGAAGATTATGAATATCCTTTTACTTATGTCACTGCTTTGAAGGATATGCGTATACTCAAAAAGCAAAAGCATTTACTTCAAATTATTATAAATACCATCTGGAGAATTTCCTTAAAAATTTGCAAGTACAAGGATGCCCTTTGTTTTATGAATACGGCTCAATGTAAAGACATAAAGAAAACATAAGGTCAGTTAACACTTACGGGTTACAACAGATTTCGCTGCTGATCAAGTAGAATTTTTTTCACTTTTTTCTTGAATTTAGGTGATGAAGTGGTTTCTTTTAAACTACGATCTAAAGAATTATATAATTTGATCGCATTGTAAATACTTTGAAGTTGAGTCATTAATTTTCAGATAATGATTGTAGAAGGAAGATAAACCAAAATATGTGTGTAAAAATAAAAAAAATTAAAAAAAAAATGTTACCTTGTTTTATAAAGTATCCTCCCGACAAGTATTTCAGTGCGGACCTGTATTTGATCGTGCGGTCTTGTCCACAAGTTCAGCATTTTCGTAAACATGTGCCATTTTTGATTTCTTTTGAGCCACGCAACAGACACCACTATTCACTCACGCGTTACCGACTGACTCTGACTGTATACAACTGAATAAAATAATTGTAAAAACATCGTTCCAAATTCTTTCGCTTTTTTGTTTCCAATGCGATGAACCGATAAGGCGGATTATATCCGTTGTTGCCAAACACGAGCACATAATATTATTATTGAGATAGGGCGGTACTCAAACTTCCAAAGGGCTATAACTTTGTTACTTTAATTTTACCAGAAAAATGGTAAAGGAAAAAAACATTTCTTTTGATCAGATCTACTCACTGTTAAAATAAATGACTCAACTTCGAAGTCACCCTGTATATGTATTATGAAATGTGAGTTGTGCTGCGGCGTGGAATTGAAAAAGTCTCTCTATATTAAATGGTATGCATATTTCTTCTAATGTGACGGTGTTTTTTAATAAAGAACCCTATGAGTCAGACTTAGGAGCTGGTATTTATACATTTTATCAATTTTCATCCATTTGACGTCATTAATGGCATTCAATATACATATGCTCATATTTTCTGAGATCATTTACAAGTCCGCAACATGTATTCATAATACTTTGAATACGATTTCTTGTTATAATATCTAAATAGGGATAGTAAACCACTAAGCAATAGGATATTTTTGAAAACAAGAAAGATTCACACAATTGCTTTCTCGCAGATTTAGGTAATGATTTGCAAATGAAACTCTGAGAATAACGTAGTACTGATAAATTAGATAGTTTACGTGTTCAACAAATTTTAAGTCATCACCCATTATAATACCAAGATTCTTCGAATGATCTCCTTTTTTAAAGCACTCCTTTTTGTTTTTTAATTGCGTATACCAACATATTTGACTTTTAAGGATTCAAACGAAGATTATGACCACTGCCAAACTTTTCAATTTGAGCCACATCTTGATTAATTGTATTATTAGCTGTTTCCATGTCATTACTCCTAAAGGAATAGAAAATCTGAGTAACGTCGGAAAAAAATTGTAAGCTGCATGATTTTACCCCTATTTCTAAATCTGAGATATATAATGAAAATAACAGACGTCCTAACACAGATCCCTGTGGTACACCAGAACAATTTTTTTGTGCGGTAGAGAATTGTTGATTTAGATGAACTTTTTGAAACCGATTTTCGAGGTAGGTTTGAATAAACGAAAGAGATTTTCCAGAAAAATTTCCCAACATATTTCCAAAATATCTACCACCGACCCTTATACACAACCTGCATCTTCTTAAAAAGTGTCCTTTTAAACGACTCAAACTTGAATCGGATTTGTTGCGTGCTGCAGGTTTTCCATAGATCTTTTAAACATCCCCGTTAAAAAAATCCAGAGGGTTCAGGTCTAGGGAGCGTGGGAGCCACAAAATTGGTCCTAGCCAACCAATCCATCTTCTAGGGAGTGTTTCATCAAGATATCCCCTAACTGCACTAGCATAGTGTGCAGGGCACCCATCATTCTGTAACCACGTCCTTCGTCTTGTTTCAACATTCCAAAAGAACGGGTAGATGATGTATGCAAAAAAACTAAATAAATATATATAATTTTTTAAGATCATTTGCCGATTTTTTTCACAGTAATTAGTCAAACTCTAGTAAAGGTTTTCACATTGAAACAATTTTTTTTAGCATACCGTGCTAGTTTTCAATGAAATGAATACTCGCTCGTCTCAACCAACTATACTAAGTGACATATAAATCCGAACACCCAGTTTAAATGGTTTTATTTTAATAAAATTTTGTATAAGTACTTAATGAAGCATAATAAGTAAATGATAAAAATTTCAAAATGATTGCACTGCTTTAAAGCCCTTTGACCTTTAATAATGTGTGGATGCACCCTGATGTGCTACGCATTCTCCAACGCGCCTAGGTATGCTTCTGATCAGGTGGTCAATGTCCTCCTGTGGTATCTCATTCCAGGCAACCACCAACTCCTCTCGAAGTGCTTCTAGAGTCTGAGGAGGACGTTGCAAATTGAGCAATCTCCTACCCATCATACCCCACACGTGCTCAATTGGGGATAAGTCGGGAAATCTTGGTGGCCATGGTAACAATGTGACATCATTATGTTGAAAGAAGTCTATTGTGACTCTTGCAACATGTGGTCGGGCATTATCTTGTTGGAAAGTTGGATCTGCCAGGGTGTCAAGATGGGGTTCTAGAACTTCGTGGATATAACGCTGCGCGTTCATGTTACCTCTGATGAAGATTAAAGGTGACCTGGAACCATAAGCTATAGCACCCCAAACCATAACTCCAACAGTGTGATGAACATGTCTTTCAACAAAAAAGTGTGTATTCCTCCTTTCACCACGTCGCCTTCTAACCCTTACACCGACGTAATCGCCTCGAGTGGTGCAGACAACGGTCACTCTGGGATCAGGAATGGAACAGTATTGTCTTTAGTGACGAGTCTCGATTTTGTTTAGGCATGCACCATTTAAACTGGATGTTCGGATTTATATGTCACTTAGTATATATAGGGATTTATTTAAATTTGACGTTTTTTATTACTTTTAGAATGCACACATATCACGTCGTATTGCATCAGGCCTTGAAAGACCTGAACCATAAGCTATAGCACGCCAAACCATAACTCCAACAGTGTGATGAACATGTCTTTCAACAAAAAACTGTGGATTCCTCCTTTCACCACGTCGCCTTCTAACCCTGGCACGACCATCGTGCATGCCTAAACAAAATCGAGACTCGTCACTAAAGACAATACTGTTCCATTCCTGATCCCAGAGTGACCGTTGTCTGCACCACTCAAGGCGATTACGTCGGTGTTCTCGAGTTAAAGGGAGGACCCAGTGTGGCCGGTATGAAAACAAGCCAAAACTTCTCATTCGTCGGTAAACACTTCGCATGCCAATAATCTTAGGCGGCGATCTTCACGGTCTGTTGTTCTACGGCGGCGTCCAGTGCCCCTTGCTCTTTGCGTACGGCCTTCTCGAAGCCGTGCCTGACAACACCTAACCACAGTGTCTACACTTCTTTGCACTCTAACTGCAATTGCCCGAAAAGAAAGTCCAGCTTCCCGAAGTCCCACTATACGGCCCCTATCAAACTCACTAAGTTGACGAAATCGTACAGGTCTCCGTACTCTAGGCATCGTAACCGATCGTAAAGGATGCCAAGAACCAAAATCCGCCAACGTTGATTCTTTACTGCGGCTGAAATATTCATTTTTAGAGCGTTAGTGAATTAAAAAAAGCAGTATAAAAACCGGAATATCCATCTGATAAGGCTGAACATTTTTTCACTTGTTACTTACAGTAAGATAAATACATTCACCAACTTTTATTAACATAAAACCATTTAAACTGGGTGTTCGGATTTATATGTCACTTAGTATATTAATGGTAGACCAGAAAAAAAAAAACATATTAGAAGTTCTCTATAGCCAGAAAAGAGCAAAAAGGAGCAAAAAGTAGGGATTTTTTGAATAAGCTTAAAAGTGACCGTATCTCGAAAACTAGAAATCTTTTACTAAGGTCATGTTGATTTTATCTGATTGATCTGCAGCCAATCTCCCGTGTCACTCTGGCGTGTTATATCTAGCAGTTCATACTTTTTTCATTATTTTTGGAAAAATTTAATGCATCCGTACATGCCTAGGTGCGTGTGTTCTCGAAACTATGCGGAGTGGAGAGCTTCGTGGCGAGGTGAAAGAGAAGGTAGCGGTGGTGAGGAAGATGATAGAGTACTTTTGGAGGCGGTACCTGTAGTATTGGAAGGACATGCTGGAGAAGTAGAATGTATTGCCACCGATGGAAGAACCGTAGTGAGTTGTTGTCTAGGTTAGTATATATCCAAAACCTTTACTTCCATACTGACAATTTACGACTAATCTTAAATTAAAATGTTCAAAAAATCGCTATCATGATAAAGGCATTTGTGTATAAAAAATTGCTTTAAATGGAACATGAACATTAAATTTTTAATCGACATAATGTGGTTTGGTAAGTTATAAAGAGAAGAGGACCAATTTTATTAGGTGATCGAAATGATGTTTTTTTATTAGAGACAACAATATCAGCCAAATGGCCATTAGCGGCGGAATTTATAAGTTTTCGAAGATAAAATTTGTTTTTCGAACATCTCCGGGATTAACAGCAACATTGATGCTGTAAATCACTACCTGCAATCCAATCATCCCGCCGTGCTTTTCTTGGCGGAGACAAAAATCTCAGAGTCTGCACCGATTAACCATCTTAATTTCCCAAACTACGAGGTGCACTCCAATCTGAGAATGAACCGGGGAGTTGTGGCTTTTGTCCGCAGCAGTCTTTCCTGCTCCAGAGATGTTTCTTTGGAATCAGATCGGAAGGACATTCTGTGGCTTCGCCTCAACTCCAAAACATCACCCAAATTTATTTGCTGCCTTTATCGCTCTCCCTCGGACCATAACTGGGATGACCTACTCGAATACCTCGCCGTCCAGATCGACTTCTTGCACATCAATCACCCCACTTCAGAGGTAGTTCTTCTCGGTGATTTCAATGCCCATAATGAGCTTTGGTTGGGCTCAAACAAGACCGATGCAGCAGGTCGTGCAGTCTAAGCGTTCGTTCTTACTCAAGGGCTGACCCAGCTGGTGACGAGCCTTACTTTTTTCCCCCGCGTCGCGTCACACGCCACTAGCCTGCTGGATCTCTTTCCTTGGAGAGATGTTTGTTACACTAACGCGGATGCGTCGGCTGGCTGTTCTTCATTAAGCGAAATTATCCACGTCGAAATGGAGGATTACATCCATCACACAGTGAAAGTGCCTAAACCAGGGTCCAACGGCTGGTTTAACAAATCGTGTGACACTGCTCGCCAGCAGAAGATCAAGGCACACAGAACCTTCTTACAAAACCCCACTGTAGAGAACAAACAAGCCGACGTCGAGTCCAGAAACAAATATAAAGTATATACAGATATAAAAGTTAGGCACAGAGTAATGTCGCAGCACAATGGTAGTCGGTATTTCTGGACGCTGGCCAAGCAGATTGAAAAGAACTTCTCACACAGTAGCCTTCTACCACTTACGTGTCAAGATGGAGCTATTGTATTCGACTCAAAGGCCAAGGTAGAAGTGCTAGCCAAGATCTTTGCTGCCAACTCCACCATGGTGGTCCCCCCAGGTGCCATCAATTCAAAGGGTTCCCTACACTATGCGAGAGGTAACATTCAGGCATAAGACCATATGACGAGTGCTCTTGTCTCTTGACATCAATAAAGCTTCTGGTCTGGACTTGATTCCTGCCATTGTACTGAAGAGGTGCACAGCGGAGCTTGCTCCAGTTCTTTCGCGTATCTTCCAGATATCTTATGAATCTGGCACCTTCCCAGAAAACTGGAAATTTGCTCATGTCCAACCTATCCCAAAAATGGATCTAAAACCGACCCTTACAACTACAGACCTATAGCTCTGCTTTCTGTTATAAGTAAGGTGATGGAGAGGTGCATAAATCGCGAGCTTCTGGACTACCTCGAACGTCACAGCTTGATTAGCGACAGGCAATATGGTTTCCGGCACCAACGATCCAAAGGGGACCTCCTAGCTTACGTCACGCAATTGTGGAGTAAACTCACCCAGTCTTATGGTGAGGCTCATGACACCACGAAAGCGTTCGATCAGCTGTGGCACGCTGCCCTCTTAAACAAACTTCCATCCAGAAAAGCTTTGCAGATGGGTGGCTGACTTTATCTGTGGCCGCAAGATATCCGTCCTAATTGACGTGTTCTCTTCTTCATCTCACAACGTCAACGCGGGTGTTCCCAGAGATCGATCTTGGCTCCGACACTGTTTCTCTTACATATCAACGACCTCCTTTCCTGCACGATCAACCCAATGCACAGCTTCGCTGATGACAGCACTCTACATGCAGGAATTCAGAGTGACAAGCCGATCTCTGCCGCTGAGCTGGAAAAAAGAAGACTAACGACGACTTCCTCTCTGACAAGAGACCTGGAGGCTATGACTGCTTGGGCACGCAACAATCTTGTACAGTTCAATGCGTCCAAAACACAGTACTGTACTTTGACGAACAAAAAGCGTCCTAGCGCTCATCCGGTTTCGATGGATGGTCGAGTTCTACCAAAGAGCCATTCATTTCGGCTGGTCGGAGTCCAGATCACCGAGGACCTGATCTGGCACGAACACATCTCATCAGCTGCAGCTGCTGGGAAAAAACTAGGCTATTTGTTTAGGGCTAAGAAGTACTTTTCGCCGCATGACCTTCTCACTCTATACAAGGCCCATATAATGCTAGCTTCGAGTATTGCTCACACGTTTGGGGTGCTGCCACCCCGACTACATTGTCCATGCTCGATGCTGTCTAGAGGAGGGCGGTCCAACTGATCGATCACTCTTCTCTAACAGAGAGTCTCTGGACTCTTTCGCACCGGCGGGCCGTCGGTGATCTAGCTCTTTTCTACCGCTACACCAACGGGCTTTGCTCCTCAGAGCTCTCTTTCATGATGCCGCCGCGCGATGTGCCTGCCAGACCGACCTGCCTGACTTTGGCGTCCCATCCTAACCGTGTCGAACTTCGTCCATCCAGAACTGGCCGATACGACCGCTCCTTTGTCCCGAGGGTGTCGAAATTGTGGAACAATCTACAAGAGTGAGCTTTTCCCAGTTCTGCTGACTTTGGGCAGTTCAAGAATCGTATTAATAAAATGTCTTTGGGATCTCATCATAGCAGCCGCGGTGTTCCGGCATTTAGGCTTCTGCCTGCGCGGCTGCGTCGATATAAAAAAAAGTTTTTCATTTTGTGTAATAAATTACAATTATGTAGGAACTTTATAACGTTATTGAGGTCCCAAGAATGCTAGTTAATGATATATATCTTCTTCATCTTATGAATCCGGCACCTTCCCAGAAAACTGGAAATTTGCTCATGTACAGCCCATCCCAAAAAAAGGATCTAAAACCGACCCTTACAACTACAGGCCTATAGCTCTGCTTTCTGTTATAAGTAAATTGGATTGGATTTTTGGTATACACCTTCGGAAAAACCATTATTATACATTATGATGAGGAAGAGAGATGGAAATACACAAAAGTATGTAGGTGCGTGAAAGACACTCGATTGTAGGATCCTATCTGGCAGCGTCGGAGTGTGACGGACAACGGGGTAAAGTAGAAGAGTGATAAAAGAGAGATGGCAGAACGGGCGCTGGCGCCTGCCGCTTAGACGGATGCGCTCAACAAATGCGATTTGTTTCTCCCATTCGCAGAGTTGCCGATACCAATAAATTTCGGGAATAATAGCTGCGGATTCCACATAAGAGTATTCCAAAAATGAAAAAAGTTCAAACTATTAAAATTGTATTAATGTTTCATGGTTCAAATCATATTTTTCATGTTTGTATATTGTTGTATAAATGATTTTGTAATCCCTATTCTTGTTGCCAGTAGAGATACAACAGTATTGAGAGAAATCATGGACCGCTAGATAGGGCTACAACTACCATATGACTATCAAATAGTAGTGATAAACAGGGTTTGTTTATAGCACAGTTGCCTGGTGTGGTGAATTTGCGCCATAGGGGCGATTTGACAACTTTGAAGGACAACTATAACGGGTACTATGGTGCCCGGTATTCGGGAATCTGGCAATACCTGATGATTCCTTACGTTTATTACACCGAGATTGTTTGCTGACTTGCGCAGTACAACATGACAATCAACGTGACTGAGCACCTGGTAACCCTGGTTTAAGGTGTTATATTTAGAGAGCTTGGGGCAGTTAGGTATCTAGGTCACATTTTTTAATGTATTTCGAGAAATCCGTAATGTTGAGTAAATACTAGATCACGTTTCTTGCTTAGTTTGCTGAAAATTCTACAATAGACGTACATTTTGAGAAACGGAGATTTGGTGACGACAAAATCGTAAAAATATAACGCATTTTCGTAAAATAATTTCTTTGTTGAAAAGACTGTGGCTTGATGACCCATTGAACGAGTATAGTGTCCCGCTCCGCTTTGAATATTCGAAACACTATACTCCAGCAGCATTCAGCTTCAATGTTATCTTTATGAAGTTCTAACGTCTAGGCCATGCTGATTAAAAACTTGAATGAATCAACACTTAACTCTAAATTCCCCACAATTCGGGAAGCTCTACTCAAATTGGCAACACAGCGTATCTGCCTATTATTCTCATTCGTGACACAGGTCTGCGGTCTGCTGCAAATTTCAGTATGCGTTGAGTCGACAGAAGAAGTACAGTAGATGCGCGCATTACGCACCAGTTCGATTGGACGTCCTGTGAACCGATTTCGGTGATTTCGAGATTTCACGAAATCACTCTACTTATTTTTATGAATGGATAATTGGTTTTGTAGCAATAAAGGTTGCGTCTCATAACAAAAATAAGAAGATACCCACTCTAACAAAAAATAGTACACTCTTAAAAATGTGTAACGAAAATAAAAAGATATTCTAACAAAAAAATAAGTTCTCAAAAATAAAACGCAATAATGAACACAAATGTTTCAAATGGTCCTTCACAGCTGGGGCTCAAAAACGTCTCCTTCATTCAATGAACAGTATGTCAGGCGGTTATAAAACTCCTGACGAACTCTCAAGAGGGTAGAAGGCTGTATTTGCCCGAGCGCTTCAACGATTTTCACCTGTAGGTTATGCAAATTATCTGCTCTCTCATTGAAAGTGTAAACAGTACTTTTCACATAACCCCACAAGAAAAAATCATTGGGCGCTAGATCGGGTGATCTAGGAGGCCATTTTATTGTTCCGTTACCGCCAATAATCCGGTGGCCGAACACACTTTCAAGGTAAGTGT